CACCTTGTAACGGAAGTTGAAATATTCCTACCCGATCTAAATGCATCCCAGTTCGATAAGGTGGGATTTTTCTTCCAACGTGAATGGAGCTTGTTTCGCAATTTGATGGCCGACTGAACCTTTCTATTATACCACGGGCAAGACGAACATCTAACAGGGACAGTGCGAACAGGCACATGTTTGTCGAAAGCATCTCTAAGAGTACTAACAAGGAAGTTTGGCGTCAACTGATTGACAATGCCAGCATTCAGCCCAGTCTATTCTGCCAAGGTCCGAGAGAAGTGCATCTAAATCATAGATAGGCATTTTTGTTTGTGAGACTGTGTGGGTAAATGCGAGAGTAACTTCACTACAGTGGTGCTAAGAACAAAATGTTCGCGTCAGTTGCTTAGCCGACAGCAAGGAAGTAACAACGTGATCGCTTTGACGCAAATTTGTATGATAATATTTATGATAATACTTTGAAGACAGATTTCAAGACTTTCGAAAAATTAAGCCTTTAATTGACATATTTGAAAGTCCGTTAACTTGTGACATAACCCAATATTCATATGAAATTCAAAAAGAATTATTAATTCTAAGAAGTGAAATGTCAGTTAACGATGAAACAGATATTATCGATTTCTGGAGAAACTTAGATAGCGAATTTTATACAAATCTTACAGAAATTTCCCTTAAGATTTTATCATTTTTCCCATCAACATTCTTCTGTGAGCACATTTTTTCTGACATGAAATTCATCTGTTCAAAACAAAGGAGCAGATTGACTTCCAAAAATTTGTCAAATGCTTTATTAACAAGAAATTGCCATAAAGGTATATACGTTAATGAGGGCCCTAAATGCTTTCATTCATTAAATAGCGCATAATTTACTATTGCATAAAAAACAAAAGCAAAGCGACGATACGTGTCATCCCTTTGCTTGCTGAAACACAACTGACATGAAAATTCTGTTCTAACACCACTGTGGCTCAATTGATTTTTCGCTCTCAACAGCAACTGAAATGAAGAGCATAAGAATACGTGTGCAGAGCGTAATACCCACATGGGGTACCTTTGCCTATCTATGATCTAAATTAATACTCCGGAAGTCCCTATACGAAAATGTCTGATCGTCACGACTCCGCTCAACATTAATGTCCAAGCAACAAAAAATTAGATCATGGTCAGATAAAAACGTAATTTGTCAAATTTTAAAACACTGGTCAAGTCGGAAACAATAAAATAGTCAAGTAGGCTTGGACTACAATTTACCGCATATCTTGTTGGTATCACCATGTTTACCATCGAGAGCCCCGCGCATGCAACATTGTCTACAAAATTTTTACTGTAACAGTCACGCACAAGAGTATTCACATTAAAATCTCCACAAACAATGATATGATTATAATCAACAAGATACGCAGACATGACATCAAAAAACGGACTAAGACTAACAGATTTATGCGGATTATAGACACAAGAAACAAGTGCTTTAAAATTGTTACCTGTTATTTCTACAACAAGGAGTTCAGTGCCATGGCTTGAGGACATTGTTAAATTTTTCATCCGTAAATGGCTTCTACAATAAATAGCAATTCCACCACCTCTCTCGCCGACCCTATCGTTACGTAGAAGGCTGTAATTTCCTATGTCAACAGAGGAGTCACTAAAGGCTCTGTTATGCATACTTGGCATTGCATGCACTGCTATACCATTTTTACGTAGAAATCAAAAACCTACAGACTTTTACGTATGTAATCTGTGCGTTGGGTAACCGCTTATCGGATGCAGTGTGCATGAAGGTGCCTCGAGGCAGTTTCATCTACAGAAATATTTGTTTCAACTCGCAATCGGTTGTATAAAAATTTGCCTAGTACATAATCTCATTTCTGAATAGCATGAACTTGACCAACTGTGCACTGCATAACCCCGGCAAACTCAGTTTAATGCACAAGTTGTCTGCATCAACCACCGCGAACCATTACAGTCCTGGACCCTAGCAATCAAATGCATACGAACCTAAGCACGCTAACCACGTCTAGATCAAATACTAATGACGAACATTCAAACACATTCCTAACATGCACTATGTTAAGGCCCTTATGACGACTACAGAGGACATTTAACTTAGCGAGACTGTTTACATCAGCGCTAGAAACCCTATATTGTACACCCATGCAAGGTGCAAGCAGAAACAACTTCACTCATAGAGAACAAAGATAAAGAATTGAAAAGAATGGCCATCTTTACAAAGTAAGAAGCGCAATAAGAGGAATAACACACGTAGTAATTATAGAACTCATTGTAAATTTTGGTTGCGGGCTCATTCGTATCATGCCGCACATGTACAAAACCCCTGCGGGTAAAAACCGACAGCAACTTCCCCTCCCGCCGTATCTTAACCGCCGCCTGCAGCAGTTTTCTATGTTCAATAGGAAGACTCTCAAAAATACCAAATTTTCCCTCCACAACCAAAGAGTTAAGCGGGATGGCAGATTTGATGCGCTTACGGCATTCAGCGAAGGCATGGAGAGCCCGATTTCGATCGAGAGGAGAGTAGAATTTTATAATGACTGCACTGTTGGGGCTCACGGAGTTAGATTTTACCCGGAAAATATCTTTGATTGGCGGAACCATGAAATTAATGGAGAGGCAAATTCGATTGAAAATGCTTTTTAAATTCTCACCCTCCATATACGGCAACCCAAAGGCAACAGCATCAGCAGCATGATCGGAAGTCGCCTTCTGCGACAGTACACTTTCAAGCGACGACCGTAGTTCCGCAATCTCACCTTCATGTTTGGTTATTTCCAATTCCATTTTCGCTATATGCTCAGAAGATTCAACCGCTCTTGCTGTCAAAGTCGCTACTTCCGCATCCAAAACGCCTGCCAAGCTTCTCTTCCAACTCAGATATTTTTGAAGAGAGACTCCCGAAGAGACACTGGAGCTGCTCAGTGTGTATTTTGACTTTTTCTTCCAGCTCTTTTACGGCCGCTAAAACGGTAGTTACTACAGCAGACTCATTAAGCTTAGCAGCCTTAGCAAAGGGGGACTCTCTGCTAGCGCGGCGTTTTAATGATGTTGATGTTGATGTTGATGTGGTTGTGTTTGTCACTGACATTTTACCACAGAATGTAAGTTTTGTATGCGCTAGATAAGTACTTAAAACAAGTAAATTAACGACGGAAGCAAGCTTTCAGTGTTAATTTAATGATTGGCAGATGCTCAGCGCGCGAAAAATAGTCGAATTTATATATGAAACTTATAAAATTAAGCAAAAGCAAGTGATTATCGCGGAGCAACTAATAAACACGTCCAAACAGAACAGCGCNGCTCAGCGCGCGAAAAATAGTCGAATTTATATATGAAACTTATAAAATTAGGCAAAAGCAAGTGATTATCGCGGAGCAACTAATAAACACGTCCAAACAGAACAGCGGAGTTAAACAATTTATTTGAAAAGAAAATAAGTAAAAAATGTGTTTAATTTATAGAAATTGATACTTCGTTATGTAATGAAAATTTTCGCCTGCGGCGCGTTTTTAAATAAAAATCAATACGTCGGTATATAATGGGTCGTATGAATAATAAATAAGCAATTGCTTTTTATTAAAATTTCTTACACTTTTTCTCGATTTATTCAAACAAAATTGAAGTAAAAGGTGTGCAATTTGAAAAAAAAATTAAAAAGCAATTGCTTTGTTTTTATTCATTCGGCCCAATGAAAATTTCTAATAAAAAATCGGGCGAATTTTTATTGCAAATTTACGCCTGCAGCGCTTTATTCAATAAAAATCGATACTTCGATTTATAATGAAAATTTGTAATAAAAATCGCGCGATATATAATATAAAAGTTGATACTTCGTTATAAAATGAGAACTTTCAACTATTTAGTTATTTCCACAGTTAATTATTGCACATAACAGTCTGAACTCCGTGTAAACATATTCAATATTTATTCCATTCAGGTTGAGTGGCAATACCGCGCATCAGCAGGTGAATTTTGCGTTGAGCACACCAAAATTGTTTACATTATAATGAATAAAATATATTAGTTTTTAGTGATATATTTAGCGATATTCGGACACATATAGCTGAAATGAAGTATTGTTGTTATATGTATGGTGAAATGTTGGCAATTTGTGCGTTTGTGTGAGTGTAGTAAGGGAATAAAAAGGTGCTATTATGGAAAAGTTTTTTGTTAATAACTTTTTATCGGGTAAAAAAAGTTTATTTCTGCTTTCGGATTCTTGTTACAGGGGTCCAGACGCGTCTAATGGTACCTTTCCTAAATTTTGATCAATTTTAGGGGTTGAAGGCCCACCTAGATCATGCACCTAGATAATTACCCAAACCCACACAGGGTTGCACTGAAAAAAAGTTGAACGGGCTCAAAATTGGCTGGCGACCAACTTTGTTGAAAGCGATTAGTTGAAAGGCCGTTTACACCAGGCGATTGTTGCTTTCAACTAAAAATCGCTTCATGTAAATTCCCTATTAGTTTGCTGTGAGAGTCGCCAAACTCGCTCTTTCCGAGTTGGCTGCAACAACAATTGCAGGCAGTTTGCCAAAGAAAAAATTTCTCTTCGCAATGATCGCCGTTACTATGATTTGACCCTTAATGGCGATAGCGATTTCGCAGTGTAGACGGGGCCTTATAATTTTTTTAATTTTATGGAGCTGGCCATGTCTTTCGTTCATGGGAGCTGGCAGCTCGGATAATATAAACGAACAGGCCTGAGACACTATTGTGATTTCAACTCAGTTGGAAATTTTNTGGCTGTCAAACTATCGAATTGCCTGCAATAGATGTCAAGCAATAAGCGCTGACATATATTGCAGCACATGAGAAATAGGCGGTCTCCATTGGAAATATATTTTGTGACATAGTTTTCACGACATCAGTGTTTTCCTGTGGAGACAGGGCCTTAATGGCGATAGCGATTTCGCAGTGTAGACGGGGCCTCTTTCGTTCATGGGAGCTGGCAGCTCGGATAATATAAACGAACAGGCCTGAGACACTATTGTGATTTCAACTCAGTTGGAAATTTTCAAGCAAATAGAAATGACGAAATATAATTTTTCACTAAGTGCTGGAGCGCTAATTTTTATAATAATTTCTAATTTTAATTCCGGAACGGCAGCCGTGTTTGATGGAAGTAAGTGAATTCAACTAGTTTTCAAGTTTCTGGCACGTTTTATGCAATAAGGGTACTCAAAAGGCTAATTAAAAGTGAAAATGTTAAGAGACATATATAATGGAGAATAATACGAAAGGAGAAAGAAGGGATCACAATGAATAAAGATAATAAATACTTAAAAAGTGCAAAAAAAACATACTTTATCTNGGATCACAATGAATAAAGATAATAAATACTTAAAAAGTGCAAAAAAAACATAAAACATAAAAAACTCGGTTTCGAGGTTTTTATTATATTTTTAGGCAAATATAACTGCGTTGTAGTTTCCGCATTATCTTTAATGTTTTGTGGGGCTGTGAATATCGTTTATGATTTAAGAGTAGTTCATGAAGAAATTGCACTTGATGCAAACAAGACAAAGGTGACAGTGGTCTAAGTATAGAAAAATCCATTTCTTGAAGAAATACATATAGTTTATAACAGCACTCAATTGGACCCTTAGGGTCCATTCTTTCCGAATTCATACATATGCACACATATACATATATATGCAACAAAGACTGGAGTTCCCAAAGCTAAGTTTAAATGTAAATGTTATTAAGGAAATTGAGACTTGCTACTGCAGAGGGAATCGTGAATCATTAGCTTTTGTGTAAATTTTTATTCTTAAAAGCTTGGAAAGCGGTGACGTTGCTGGGTACTTCGTGTCTTCACACATTAACATTTATATTTCACGTCGCGCTGCGTTTTTTATGGATTTGATATCGACGTCGTTTAAATTTCACTAAACGATGAATTGATTTGCTTGGTTTGCGCGCACATTATATGTGCCCAATATTTCTTCGCGAGGCAGCCGCTGTGTTGTAGTGGTAAGCAGTGCCGGCTTACTCTCCGCGGGGTCTGGGTTCAATCCCTGGAAAAAGCAACATCGCAAAAAATATAGAAAAAAGGGTATTTTCTTAATAGCGATACCCCTGTGCAGGCAATGGCAAACCTTCGAGTGTATTTCTGCC